GATCCCAGGCAAGAAAATCCTAGTTGCTTCATGGCAATATAGACATTAATTTAAAAATAATTAAATGAATCTTTCAAAACACTTTATTAAACTCTAAACATATTATGTTAAAATAGTGTATATTAAATCGGTTTGTACAATAAGTCCAAAAAAGTTTAACCAAAAAATATTTATTTCTCACAATTATGAAGGCTGGAGGGTTAGGGTTAGGGTCATTAATGTGGGCCACCAGTCACTATAACATCAGTAACAGGTCAGTTTGAAATGAAAGACACAATTCAGTTAAATTTTGGGGTCTTTGTTTTTATCCTTGTGGTATCGAAAATGGTATCGAGTATCGAGTATTTTCCCGAGTATCGGTATCGAGTAGGGATGGGACGGTTTCTGAAAACCGTCCGAACCGTTGGGTTGGACTGTCTCGGTTCGATTCGCGTGTGTTGCGTTACTGCGCCCAAAGCCAACCACCAGTAGGAAACAAGAAGAAGAAGAAGTGGTGTAGCCGATAAAAATCAGACCGCCAGCAGCAGTTTCTAGGTCTGCTGTATGGACCACTTTGCATTTAGAGGGAAGCACATGTTGGAATTAGCACTGTTTCCTCTCCTGCAATGCCAGAATCTCACCTACTTTTAACCTAAGACTCAAGTAGTCACAATAATGTATCAAATGTCAGACTGCTTTTTTCTTTCAGTTTTAACCTGACTATACAAGACATAATAGATTTTCCTAACAATCAACACATACCGAACCGAACCCAAAACCGTGACCACGAAAAGGTGAACCGAACCGAACCGTGGATTTTGTGAACCGTCCCGGCCCTAGTATCGAGGTGAAAATTTTAGTATCGTGACAACCCTACCTTGAGGCAGTAGGTCCTCTGGGTGAAGGTGGGCGCGTTGTCGTTGACGTCCAGCACGGTGACGCTAACGCTAGCCGCGGACGCCATGGACGGCGAGCCGTGGTCGCGCGCCTCAACGCCGAAGGAGAAGAAGTCGGCCGCCTCCCGGTCCAGCTCCCGGGTCACCGTGACCCAGCCCGTGCTGTTGTTGATGGCCAGAGGGAAGTCCGGCGCCGTGCCGGTCAGACGGTACTCCAGACGGGCGTTCTCCCCCGAGTCCCCGTCGATGGCCTGGAGGAGGGGGGGTCAAAAGTATGGATACTCAAAAAATTACAGATACTGAAATGCTGTATCCGGATACGATACTCAAAAAGGTATTGATGCTAGAACGTATTCGGATACGATACTCATTTTCAAAACGTATCCGAATACAATACCCATTTTCAAAAGTATCGATACTCATATATCCGAATGCGATACTCAAAAAAATATTGATACTAAAACGTATACGATACTCAAATTCAAAAGTTTTGATACTAAAAGGTTGTATCCGGATAGGATACTAAAAAAATTGATACTAAAACATATCCAGATAGGATACTCATTTTCAAAAGTATCGATACTCAAAAAAGTACCGATACTAAAACGTTGTATACGGATACGATACTCCAACAAATATCAATACTAAAACGTATCTGGATACAATAAACATTTTCAAAAGTATCGATACTCAAATAAGTATTGATACTAAAACTATGTATCCAGATACGATACTCATTTTCAAAAGTATTGATACCACCCCCCCCTCACCGTGACGCTCAGTAGAGAGCTGAGAGCACGACCAGTGCTGCTGAAGGCAAGTACATATCGCTATAGACTGCAGGAACAAGGATGGATATCCAACTCCCCTAAATCCAAGTCGGCCATTTTGATTAGGTCACCAATAGGAAGATCCCAGGCAAGAAAATCCAAACTGCTTAGTGAAATGAATCTTCTCACAATTATGAAGGCTGGAGGGTCAGGGTTAGGGTTAAGATTAGGGTCAGGATTAGGGTCAGGTTTAGGGTCAGGGTTAGGGGTTGGGGTCAAGGTTAGGTTTAGGGTTAGGGTCAGGGTCTAGGGTTAGGATTAGGATTAAAGTCAGGGTTAGGTTTAGGGTCAGGGTTAGGGCCATGGTTAGGATTAGGGTCAGGGTTAGGGTTAGGTTTAGGGTTAGGGTTAGGTTTAGGGTTAGGATCATGGTTAGATTTAGGGTTAGGTTTAGGGTCATGGTTAGGGTTAGGATCATGGTTAGGTTTAGGGTGAGGGTTAGAGTCATGATTAGGTTTAGGGTCAGGATTAGGGTTAGGACATCGTTTTCTACTGATTTCGTTTAGACAGTACAGTTTCCTTTCCACCTCAGAAAGCTGCTAGTCACATGACCTAATCAAAAACGGCCGAATTGGATGTGGGAGGAGTCTGATATCCATCCTTGGCTTCCTCCAGCCAGAGGTACCGAGCGTGGCGAGGGTTCTCCTACCTGGATGTGGATGACGGAGTGGCCCAGGGGGACGTTCTCCAGCACGCTGGCCTGGAACGGCGTGCTGACGAACATGGGCGCGTTGTCGTTGACGTCCATCACCTGGACGACCACGAGGCCCGTGGCGTTGATGAGCGGTGGCCTCCCGCCGTCCTGCGCCTTGATCCTCAGGCTGTACTCGCGTATGTTCTCGTGGTCGAGCGGGTTGATGAGGTCGATGGCGCCGGTGGGCGAGTGGATGTAGAACTGTCCGCGCACGTTTCCGCTGATGATGCTGTAGTGGACGCGGGCGTTAGCGCCCTCGTCGCGGTCGCTAGCTTCCACTTTCGCCACGCGGCTGTTGACCGCCGCGTCCTCGCGCACGCGCGCCACGTAGCGCTTCTCGCTGAACTGCGGGTAGTTGTCGTTCTCGTCCTCCACGGTCACGTGCACGGCGGCGGTTGCCGTGCGCGGCCCCGGGTCCCCGCCCTGGTCGTCGGCCTCCACCAGGAGCGCGTATTCGGCGCGCGATTCGCGGTCGGGACGCCTCCGGACGCGGACCAATCCGCTGCGCCGGTCGATCTCGAAGGCGCCGTCCAGCTCGTCCTCGTTGACCAGGCGGTAGACCATGTTGGCGTTGGAGGGGGCGTCGCCGTCCGTGGCGCGGATGGTCATCACCTCGAAGCCCGCCTCCACGTTCTCGCGGATGCTCACCCGGTACTCCGACCGCTCGAAGACCGGCGCGTGGTCGTTGGTGTCGCTAACCGTCACCGTCAGGTAGGACGCCGCCGAGCGCCTGGGAACGCCGCCGTCCGTCACGGTGACCTTTCAATTCAATTTATTTAGTTATTTATTTGAATAGGGACAAAGCACATTAATGAACATCAGTCAAAAACAAGTGTAAATATGCCGGATTATAGCTACAAAGCTAATTTTCATCCGTAGTCCCTAGGCAGGCAAATGCATAAAAAAGAACATATAATAAACAAGTATCACAAGTAAATGTTTAGATTTTAGTGGTCACATGACTGGTTTGCTTTCATCCTAAATTTAAGTTGAGCTCTAAAGCTCATCTGTTCCAGATGTTAGCGGCTCTCACAGAGAGAGTGTTCTATTCAATTAAATTTTATTTCTATAGCGCCACATCACAACAACAGTTGTCTCACAGCTTTCCAAACAGAGCAGGTCAGACCCTACTCTGAAGTTAACTACAGAAACCCAACAATTCCCACCATGAGCAAGCACTAGGCGACACAGGCAAGGAAAAACTTCCTGTTAACTCATTGACTGCCAGCCATTTTCAGAACAGAGAGTCCCTGTCAGAGTTTTTGAGCATTTTGACTGATTTTTCAAGAGCCACAGAATAGTTTGTGCTATGACTATACAAACATCGAACACACCAAAAGAAAGAATAGACTCTTCTTACATCAGGAAAAAAAAATTGTTTCTACCTTATTCCGTTCTTCCTGGACTTGCGTCTCACCGGCGACATGTTCCCTCATAGAACCGTTAGCTTTTTCTTATTTGCCTACAGTCTATGCTCATCTCCCATCAAAAGTGGCACTGCCCCCTAGAGGGTCAATTTGTTACTACATACTCTGTCTAGAAGCCCATATTTACGGACAAGCTTTAGCAGATCGTCCCCCAGCCACTCGCGTTGAAAAACATAAAAGACGTCTATAGACGTCTTTGGCAGCCAATGAGTTAATGCTAATGATAGTGATAGCAGTTAGCATAGCAATAAAACTAAGAGTTATGACAGAAATAACACTATGCAGAGTAGTAGCAGAGCAGGAACACAGGAACTCCCAACCACAGATCCAGACTCCTATGATTTCGACAATTCATCGTTTCTTTGCGTTTTCTATTGTAATTCTCAAGTGGTAACAACCCGAAGTGATCCTAAAAAGTTTAACATCTCAAGGCTTGCTGGGTCCAACACCAACCACAGATCCAGACCCCACAACTCTAGGAACACCTGCAGGAAGTGATAATCACTGCTACGATTTCGACGATTCATAGTTTCTTTGCGTTTTCTATTGTAATTCTCAAGTCGTAACAACCCGAAGTGATCCTAAAAAGTTTAACATCTCAAAGATTGCTGGGTCCAACAAAACAAACAGATCCAGACCCTACAGCTCTAGGAACACCTGCATTCCGATGATTCATAGTTTCTTTGTGTTTTCTATTGGAATTCTCAAGTTGTAACAACCCGAAGTGATCCTAAGAAGTTTAACATCTCAAGGCTTGCTGGGTCAAACAAAACAAACAGCCCCAGAACCCACAGCTCTAGGAACATCTACAGGAAGTGATAGGAGGAGACTCCTATCAAACTCCTATAGGAGGAGACTCCTATCACTCGTATGATTTCGACGATTCATAGTTTCTTTGTGTTTTCTATTGTTATATCTCAAGTCGTAACAACCCGAAGTGATCCTAAAAAGTTTAACATCTCGAGGCTTGCTAATTCCAACAAAACAAACAGCTCCAGAACCGGGAATACCTTGAACACGTGCGTGTCCTTGACCTCGCGGTCCAGCGCCTGCACCGTGGTCACGCTGCCCGTCTGGGCGTCGATGGCGAACAGGTGGTCTGAGCGGCGGTCGAACAGCGCCTCCATGGCGTACTGCAGCCGGCCCGCCTCGCCCCGGTCCGGGTCCGAGGCCTTCAGGGTGATGACCCGGGTCCCCGCGGGCTCATTTTCAGGCACCGACACCTGGTAGTTAGGCAGCTGGAACTGGGGCGCCGCGTTGGCCTGGCGACGGCGTCGGAACGCCGCCCGGGCGGGTCCTGGTCCCGGTACTGGTACTGGTCCTGGTCCCGGTACTGGACCTGGACCTGGTCCCGGGCTTGGTACTGGTACAGGACCCGGTCCTGGTGCTGGATTTGGTACTGGTCCCAGACCTGGTTCCTGGCTTGGTACTGGCTCTAGGCCCGGTCCAGGGGCTCCCAGACCCGGTCCCGGGCTTGGTACTGGCCCCAGACCGGGTACTGGTCCAAAACCTGGTTCCGGACCCGGTACTGGACTTGGTACTGGTCCCAGAGCTGGTCCCGGGCTTGGTACTGGTCCCAGACCTGGTTCCAGACCTGGTACTGGTCCCAGACCTGGTTCCTGGCTTGGTGCTGGTTTTAGACCCGGTACTGGTTCCAGACCTGGGTAGTTGTCGTTCTCGTCCTCCGCCCGGGCGGGTCCTGGTCCTGGTACTGGTCC